ATCATCATCTTCATATTCATGGTCATCATCATCATCATCATCATCATCATCATCACCATCATCATCATCATCATCTTCATCACAATGATCATCATCACAATCAGCATCATCGTCAGCATCATCAGCATGATCATCATCAGAATGTCAGCGTCTCCATCAGCAGTATGATCATCATCAGTTTCATAATCATCAGCAACATCGCCATCAACATCATCAGCATGATCACCATCGTCGTCAATGTGATCATAATTATCAGCATCACCACCATCAGCACCATCATCCGCATCAGCATCAGCATCAGCTCCATCATCATCACCATCATCAACATCAGCAGCATCAGCATGATCAGCATCATGATCATCATCATCATCATCATCATCAGCATCATCATTAGCATCATCATTATCAGCCTCAGCATCAGTATCCTCATCATATCATTCTTCAGCATCATCAGCCTCAGCATCATCGTCATCAGCACCAGCATCGTCGTCATCAGCATCAGCATCAGCAGCAGCATCATCAACATTATCAGCAGCTTCATCATCACCAGCAGCATCAGCAGCATCATCATCATCATCCTCATCGTCATCATCATCAGCCTCATCAAAAGCATCATCATCCGCAGCATCAGCATCATCATCGCCATCGTCATCATCATCAAACATATCAGGATCACCATTATCATCAACAGCATCATAATCATCATCAGCATCAGCACCAGCACCATCATCGTCATCATCACCATCATCATCAACATCATCAGCAGCATCATCAGCGGCATCATACTAATCATCATGCTCATCATCATCATCATCATCATCAGCAGCAGCAGCAGCATCATTAGCATCAGCATCATCATCAGCAGCAGCACCAACTTTATCATCAGCATCAGTATCACAATCATCATCGACCACATCATCATCATCATCATCATCATCATCATCATCATCATCATCATCATCATCATCATCAAAAACATCAACAATCTCATCATGATCATCGTCACCATCATCATTATCAGCAGCAGCATCATCATTAAGGTCATCGTCATCGTCATCATCAGCCGCATCAGCATCAGCATCAGCATCAGCATCAGCAGCAGCATCAGCATCAGCATAATCATCATCATCAGCATCATCCTCATCGTCATCCTCCCTCCCTCCTCCCTCCTTCCTCCTCCTCATCCTCCTCGTCCTCCTCCTCCTCGTCCTCCTCCTTCTCCTCCTCCTCTTCGTCTTCCTCCTCCTCCCCCTCCTCCTCCTCCCCCTCCTCCTCATCATCCTCGTCCTCCTCCTCCTCCTCCTCCTGCTCCTTCTCCTCCTCCTCCTCCTCCTTCGCCTCCTCCGCCTTCTCTCTTTTTTCCTTATGAATAGCTCCTCCCTGTCGCACCCCGAGGCCAGTCGAAAGGGCGGGCCGGGCGTTTCGCCGAGACGGCCTTGCCACTCGTGAGCCTCAAGCTAAAAAACTGGCGACAGCTTCAGAGATGGAAGGCGGATCGCTTCCAAAGTGTGGCTTTCGCCTTAGCGCCGAGCACGTTCATTTGAAGACTTTGTCAGCGTCTCGCTGATTGATGGCCGACCGTTTTCAACATGTGGCTCTCGCCTCAGTGCCGCGCACATTCGTTTGACAAGAGATGTGCAAGAGCTTCACGGATTGGGGGCGGGTGGTTTTCAAAATGTGGTTCTCGCCTAAACGCAACGTACATTTCTTTCACAAGGATGAAAAAGTTGTCACGGGTTGAGGGCGGCTCGTTTTCAAAATGTGGCTGTCGCCTCGGCACATTGGTTTCAAAAGTTCGCAAGAGCTTCACGAATTGAGGGCGGCTCGTTTTCAAAACGTGGCTCTCGCCTTAGCACAGTGCGCATTCGTTTTAAGACTTTGTAAGAGCTTCACGGATTGAGGGCGGGTGGTTTTCAAAATGTGGCTCTCGCCTTAGCGCCGCGCACGTTCGTCTTTGAAACTTCGCAAGAGCTTCATTGGCTCTCGTGGTTAACGTACCAGGAACTGTGTTTGTAACGATTCAGGATGACCAGGGCGCAACAGTTACGTTGATTCGCGGCGTTGACTTCTCAGGAAAGGCGCTCTGGTACGATTCAGGACCGTCAATACGCAACAGTCAGGTTGACTCGTGACGTTGAAGTCTTGAGAATGGAGTTTTGGCACGCGTCAGGATTTTCACACGGCTGTTCCCCAACGGGGCACTTCCCTCAGTGGAAATGAACCCTTGTGGGGGCCTATGGAGAGGGAGCTTAGAGGGAGGGAGTATTCCAACATCGCCTCACCATTATGGCCCTGAAGCTTGACTGTCGCACCTGCTTCACGGATGGAAGGCGTGCCGGTTTCGAAACGTGGCTCTCGCATCAGCGCCGCGCCCGTTCACCTCAAAAGTTTGCAGCGGCTTCAAACATAAAGGACGGGTGTTTTTGGACATGTGGCTGTCGCCTGGGCGCCGAGCACTTTCGGCTTCAAAATTTGCAGCAGCTTCAAAGATGGAGGGCGTGTGGTTTGCAACATGGAACTCTCGCCTCCTTAAATGTGGTTCTCGCCTGGGCGCCGAGCACGTTTGCCTTCAAGTTCTGCAACAGTTGAAAAATTTGTAGGGCTGAAGATCAGGAATTGGGTTCTGGTACGGTTTAGGACTGACAAGACGCAACATTCACGTTGATTCGCGGTGTTGAAATCCCGGGAATGGTGTCATGTCGCGACTTAGATTTTCACCACGCAACAGCCACTTTCACGCGCGAGGCTGAACTCCCAAGAATGGTGCTGTGGCTCGATTGAAGACTTCCAGACGGCTTCCAATGGCACACTTCCCGCAACGAAAACGAATTACTGTAGGGTCCTATGAGGAGGAAACTTGGAGGGAGGGCTCCTCGCAACATGGTTGATACGTCTTGGAGTTACACTGGTCCTCAGCGCTCGATCCAGCAGCCCAGGACCAAGGGAGAATCGCCTCAACACGGAGGCTTGCTGTGGGCAGGCCCTGCGCGGCGGCGGCCAAGCACGCGGTGGCAAGATTCGCACGACGACGACGATGATGATGAGGATGAGGATGATGATGCTGATGATGATGAAGATGTTGATGATGATGATGATGCTGATGATGATGACGATGTTGATGATGATGATGATGATGATGATGATGATGATGATGATGATGAGGATGAGGATGAGGATGAGGATGATGTTGTTGATGATGATGATGATGATGAGGAGGAGGATGAGGATGAGGATGAGGATGAGGATGAGGATGATGATGATGAGGATGAGGATGAGGATGATGAGGATGATGACGATGACGATGACGACGACGACGACGACGCAAGCACAAAGCGGCGGCGTCCCCCTGGAGGAAGTGCGAGAGGGCGGGCCTTTTCGGAAGGCTCGGGAGCCCCCCGGCCTTCTGAAGAGTGCTGTGTAAGCCTTCC